GCTCCCGAGTGGCGGGCTGTCGAGGCAGAACCACCTCCAGATCCCCTTGCATCTGACGAGGGGCACTGGCCAGCCTCCTCGACCGAGGGATGCCCCCCTGGAGCGTGGGCGTCGGCTCCCTGCGGGCCACCCTCCATGGGTCCTTTGACACCACCTTCTGGTCGGCCCTTCCAGAAAAGCGGGGCGAGCCCGGCACCCCATGCTCGCCAGCCCCGAGCTGAGTCTTCCGTTTTTCTTTCTGGTTAGAAATCTCGGGGAGCGCTGGGGCAGCACCGACGGGTGGCAAGAACCTCTGCTCGCCCCAATGTACAGTTCTGGCAGCTTTCTGGGCTGGGGAGCAGCCCTGGGTGTTGAAGCCCTCTCTTTCGTCCCAGTTCTTTCTCTGGGCTTCCCAGGAAGGTGGTGTGTGGTGGAGACCTCAGGTGCAGGGAGGGAGGTGCTCCTGCAGCGCTCCGGTCTGCTTGAAAATGTGAGGGTAAAGGGGGCTCGGGCTGTGAGCTTCTTGAAGGCAAGGGCCCTGTGCCTTTGGTCCTGGGCTACACTCCGTCCTGCCACAGCCTCCCTGGGAGCAGGTCCCTGGGGTCAGCCCCTGCCCTGTGCACAGCCCCTGGGGGCAGGAGTTGTGACCAGAGTCTGGGTGCTTGGGTACGTGGCTGCTCCGTGACAGTGATGGCCTCAGGGCCCTCACCAGGCACTTCAGCTTATTTGGGAACCTGGTGCAACCTGAGGATGTACATCCTAGTCCAAGGTGGCCAGGGGGCTTCTCTGCCTCTGCCTGGACAGAACAGCAAAGGCTTGGGGAAAGGGTGGAAATGAGCTCAACCCTGTGCTACTCAGGAACTGCCCCAGACCCTCTCTAGAGAATTCCTAGAAAATCAGCTTAGTGTGGGTTCTGGAATCAGACAGCCCACCCATCCTCCCTCATCTGTTTCCTCCCAAGGCCTCAGGGGCCCTCCTCCTTGGGGAAAAATTCTCCGTCCTTGGTTTTGTGCTGAGGGCATTGACCAGTTCTTGCTCCTATCTGCCCAATTTCTGGCACAGAGCAGATGCTTAATAAATATTTGTTTAAGGGAGTCTGCCTAGTGATTATGGCTACTGTTGCCTGGAGCAGATGAAGTCAAAGTTCTCTACGCTGAATGTTCACTGATAATCTTTTTTTCCTTAAATGTTTTAAGGAAGTGGGCCTATTAGGGTTTGCACATTTCAAAGCCCGGTGGCTACTAGCACCAAAAGCAACCCCCAACTCCCTCCTTTCCCAACTCCATTAAGGTGGAGGAGACAGGACTTGGTAAAATGTGTCCAAGCTTTTCCCCTTCAGTTCACAAGCTGTGGATGGTGGCCAAGCACAGGACCCGGTGGGGGGCAGGAAGGCAGTGAGGCTCTTTGGGATCAGACTTTTCAAACTGGAAGAGACTTTAGCTTATCCAGGCCAACCTCCTTCTTTTTAAAAGCCCAAAGACGGTGAACAATTTGGCCAAAGTCACACAGTAAATTGTGGCAGAGTCAAACACGAACTCCGGTCTCTACTATCCCAGCCAAGCGCCCTTTGCTTCACCTCTGCACTACCTCCTTTGGCCATAAGGGGGCACTCGTGGCAGGGTCCCGGAGAAGACTTTGCAACCCCAAGGATGCTTAGGCAGCCAGGCGGATATGTGGAGGAGGCAGGCTGGAGTCAGATCATGAAAATAAAATCAATCCTCCTGATAAGGTTTTCTTGTTGGAGCCTGGTTGAGCCCGAATCAACAAACAAAGTCCTGGGTGTGAGCAGCCCCTGCTAAGCTGGAAGACCTGCTGCAGCGGGGGAGGGGGACTTACCCCAGGCCTGATTTCCTGCTTCATTAGTTCACAGCGTTTATAACCTGCTGCAGGAAACATTTTTGTGTGTAATTCAAACAAACTCCTTCTGTTCCCTTGGTTGGTACCCTGCTGGAACAAGCCTGAGCTGATGACAGCCAGCCCCCCACAGTGATGACCTCAAGGAAGGGCACCAGCAAAGTGTGTGGGGAGAGCTCTGAACTCCAGGCCACAGACTCAGGCCAAAGGGGAGCAGGGTGGACTGGCAGCCTGCCCAGCCAGCTACTCACCCCAGGGTTGACGCCTCTGACACAGCAGGGAGGAGACGAGGGCAGGAAAGGGGAGCAGAAGGGCTTCTGTTACAAAAGCAGCTCTATTTTCACAGAGGGCATTGGGCGCTGCCTAGCACTCCTTACCCTCCCTGGTCAGTCAATTGTCTGGCTTCCCTCAACCCTACCACTAATCTTCCCAGCCAAAATATCAGGTGGGGCAAAGGAGGGAGACCCTAGAGCAGGCTCTGCTGAATGTGCAGGGGGATCCTCAGACTTTACTGATTCTAGGACCCCAAGTCAGGTGCTCCCCTCCAATTGTCTGCACAGACACCAGAGAGGTGTTCCACCCGACATTTAATCTGTCCAAACCCTCCATCCACGCCAACTCCTCCGCTTGGCCATCCACTGCTGCAGGCCACAACCAATTCTCTCACAAGGCCAGCAGCCTGTGCTGCGGGCAGCACCGAGGGCAAGGGCTGGGTCAATGGGAGGAAGGGAGGCAGGAGGGCGAGCTCTTTGGAACTGTCTGGAGGCCCGGGAAGGACAAAGAGGTCACATCAGAGGCATCCAGGCTGGACTTGATGGTCCGGTGTGTTGAGTTGTAGCAGCGGCGGTGGGCAGCCAGCTGAGCCGAGTCAGCCATGACAGACCGAGCAGGGCTCAGACCCACTGTCCTGGGCCCCAAGTACCCTGGTGCCCAAGGAAAAAAGTCAGAAGGACCCGCTCCTGGATTCTGCTCACTGGAAGGAACCCTGAGTCTTCGGAGGCCAGCCTCCAAGGTCCCAGCTCCTGGCTGAGCCCCGACGTGCTGAGCCCGGAATGCCTTTGATTCAGGCTGAAGTGGCTGGACATCCCGTTCCCAGGCTAAGGCAGTGGTCACTCACTGACCTCAGGGCTCAGGTGCTGGTCACACATGTGATCCTGGGGCTCAGACGCTGGTCACATACATGACTTCGGTGTACAGCCGCTTCTCCGAAGTGTGGATGCCCTCCGTGGTGAGGGCGCGCTCCGGGGCGGCCTCCGGGGAGGCCTCCGTGACGCCTGCTTCCCCCTCGGCCTGGGCGCCCTGCCTCTCCTTCTTCTGAAGGGCACAGAAGCTGCCACCCATAAAGAGGGCGGATGAGATGAGGAAGAAGCTTGACATGTAGAAAACGTAGCTGAAGTTGTTGTCAGTGTTGTCCAGGACAAACCCTGAAGGACAGAGAGCTAGTTAGACCGCCGCCCAGGGCTACCGGGCCCCCACGAAACTGAGCGCTCCGCGAGAGCAGGGATTTTATTTTTGTCTCTTTTGAATCCCCAGTACTAGGAATTGTGGCTGGCACCTAGTAGGCGCTCAACAAATAGTTATTAAATGAAACGGGGAGAGGAAACACTAAACCTACTCTGGCCCAGGCAGGAAGAGTCCTCGGGCCAAAGAGCACATAAGGGCATGTCTCTTACCCCGGTGGCAGGAAGCTCGGAAGACATGGCCAGGGGAGTCTGAGACAGCTGCTCAGCCACGCCCTGGGCCCCCCATACCTCCTCCCAGAGAGCTCTCTCTACTGCTGGCGTGGGGAAATCCCTTGGAACTGGGACTTCCAACTCCACACTTGGGATAAGAGTCCCCGTTATCTGACTATAATAACCGCAGCCACATGCTGTCTGCTGACTGCCCCCAGTACCGAAGGCTTCACAAACCTTCCCTTTTGCTATGATGTCACACCTCTCAAGCGGGTCTCCGCTTCCATATCTGTGCATTTCCCTCCTGGCACAAATCACCATTGCGCCCCCAAATGTGTCCCTTTGCTTTGATTCCCTACCCTTCCACCAGAAGGTAAGTCTCTGCATCGGCCATGCGCACCCAGTGACGGGCACAGGTCAACTGCTAGTTATGGCAGGTGCTCCGTTCTGCATTTTGCAGATGACACTGTGGCTCAGAGAAGGTAAATGACTTGCTGAGTCCCACAGGCAGAAAGTGGGAGGACCAGGATGTCACTAACAGCAGATCTGTGCACAGTACTTACTCTGAGCCAGCTTCTCTACTAAGCTCTTACCGGTATAAGGTATGACCCTCACAACAGGCCTACCGGGTAGATTCTATTATTACCCTCACTTTGCCAATAAGAAAACAGAGACACACTTGGCTAAACCTGGTATGTGACCTCCCTTTTTCCCCTTTTTTTTTTTTTCCAAATCTTCACCTGAGAATATTTGTTCCATTGCTTTTCAGAGAGAGTGGGAGAGAGAGAGAAAAAAAAAAACATCGATGTGAGAGAAACATCGACTGGTTGCCTCCTGCACCTGCCGTGACCAGGCCTGGGGATCGAGCCTGCAACCAAGGTACATGCCCTTGGTCAGAATTGAACCCGGGATCCTTTAGTCCGAGGGCCGACGCTCTAACCACTGAGCAACTGGACAGGGCCAGGCCCCTATTTTTAACCATTCATACCCTGAGTGCCAGCTGGGGAACAGGCTGTAGCCAGTCCCTTGGGGTGATTGGGAAAAACCACAAGTTCCAAGTCCCTACCCCTGGGATGCTGGACGGGGCCCAGATCTGTCCAGACTGATCCCTTTGCCTCACCCTGTGACCCCGCCCCCCCAGGCCACACCCTCGACACCTGGCCAGCTCCCCCCGGGCCTCACCAGCCATCGGAGGGGAAATGAGGATGGAGATGCTCTCCAGGATGGTGCAGAGGCCCAGGGCCCTGGAGAACCGATCCATGGGGACCACGTCCATGAGGACCTGGAAGAAGAGGGCGCCCACCACGCTCATGGACACGCTGTACACCAGGCAGTAGCCCACCAGCACTCGGAAGTTGGCCGACACCGTGCACACCAGGTTGGTGAGCCCGTTGAGCAGGACCGCTAGGGTGAAGAGGTACTTCCGAGAGCTGGCGCAGTCCGGCCGGCCGGCCACCAGCCCCGCCATGGGCCGCAGGAAAATGTTGCTAAAGCCGATGATGGAGATGAGCATGGCCGCCTTGTGCTCATCCACTCCGTGCCGCATGGCGAACGGCACCAGGAAGACGTGCGGCAGCGGGAAACCGAGGATCATCCACGTGACACCCAGAGTGAACACGCGGTAGCCCGCGTTGTGCCACAGGATGTCGAAGGCCAGGTGGCGCAGGATGGCCCAGCCACATGCTGCCAGGCAGCCAGGCGCGGGTGTCTTGGAAGGTGGAGAAGGGCCCTTTCTGGTTTTAGGGACCATGCCGGTGGCCACGGGCCTCAGGATGGCCCCGCAGACACAGCAGTGGAGAAAAACCCCGCCAAAGATGAGGAAGGTGCCCCTCCAGCCCAGTTCCTCGAGGAGGTAGCGGGCGAGCAGCGGCCACAGCGTGATGCCCAGGGAGACGCCCACCGAAGCCAGTGCGTTGGCCAGGGCCCGCCGGCGGATGAAATAGAAACCCAGGACGGTGATGGTCGACTGGAAACTGAAGCACAAGCCCAGGCCTGTGGGAAAGAGGGGAGACCAGCTCGAGGGTGTTCTGCAGCCTCCACTGCACCCACGGTGGGGATCGCAGGGCCCTGTCCCACGTCTGCTCCTTCCCTGCTAGCCCAGAGCCACCTCTAGGTCCCCAGGGATTTAAAACGAAATCAACCTGCCTCCCCCGCTCCCTAGAAGCATCCTGTCCCTCAGATCTGCCCTCTCAAGGCTGCCAGGGGCACACCTGTCCCCTTGGCACAGCACTCAGGTGATCTTTCAAAACTTAAATCAAAGTAAGTCTCTCCCCTGCTTAACACCTTCCAGAGACTTCCCATCACACTTAGGAAAAAAAAGCCCAAGTACTTACTATGCCCTGAAGGCTCTACACAGCCTGGTTCCTGGCCACCTCTTGGGTGCCATCTCAGGCCACTCTCCCTGTCACTCACCATGAGGCAGTCACATCACCTTTTCTCTCTTCCTCTGGACACCACGCTGCTCCCTACCTCTGGACATTTACTATTGCAGTTCCCTCTGCCTGGAACACACTTCTTCCGACTCTCCTCTCCTAACTCAGCTCAGATGCCACCTCCCCACCCACTCTGTGCCTGCCCCCGCACAGCTGAACATTCTGGAGAGAAAGCTCACAACCACCCATGACCGCTAGCCTCAGGCAGGCCCTGGGTTGCCCGGGTCCCTCATCCATTTACTCTCCCTCCTCCTGGATGACCCCAGGGCCTTCTTCCTCTCTGTACTCCATGCCTCCCCCCTCCTCACTCCCAGCCAGCAGCCTGTCTTCCGCCTGTGACAATGGATCTGTGACGATGGACCATCTGTGCTCCCAGTCAAGGCCAGCCCTTCACTCCTGCCCTGACTCTGTCCACTAGAAGGCACATCCCTCCAGCAATCTCTCTCTCCAGCACCACCCATCTTCTCATCTTTTCTAGATCATTACCCTTCACTGTTATTTCTCCCATTAAAACCCTCTCTTCACCCCATAGCCTGTTCTGGGTCCCAGCCCATTTCTCTGCTCCCCTGACACCAAACTCTCTTGAAAGTTTTAATCTCAGCCATCTCCAATTTCCCTCCTCCTGTTGTCTGGAGAAACCGTTCCCATCAGAGTTTTACCCCCACCTCTGCTCCAGAACCGCTCTCACCAAGGTCCCCACTCAGTCTGATCCGCCCTCTTGGTTCCCCTGCTCCTGTCACTTCTCCCTGCCTAGACCACCAAACATGAGTGTCCTGGGGCTCAGTCCTCCCTCGTTCCCTTAGTGACAGCAGGGTGACACCTCATCTCAAGACTTGAATGCCAGCCATCTCATGACGTCCCAACTGCTTGCTCTAGCTCAGGCTGTTGCTAGAACTCCGGACTGGAGACATCCACACCTGTGCGCCCCATCTTCCTGCAAACCTGCCCTCACCTTCCCAGGGTGGTTAGTGGCTACTTCATCTTCCCAGTGGCTCAGGGCAAAAGGCCTGGAGTCCAGCTTCTTGTCCTTGGAGCCCTGGGTCATCCTCAACTCTTCTCTCCAGGTCATGTACTCTTAACACACTGACCCACCCACATGGTGCTTTACAAATCGTGGTCAGGTGGATGTCACTCACTGGGCCACCTGGACTCCTCACATGGCCTCCCATCTCACTGCAACTGAACCCCCATCCAGCCTCCACCGCTTGTTCATGCCCCTCTACCCTGCAGGCCACTGCACTGCTCCTGGACACCTCAGGGCCTTTGCACTTGCTGTTCCCTCTTCCCCACCGAGGCTAGCGGCAGACTTCCTGTTTGCTCTCTGCCCAAACATCACCTTCTTTGCAAGGCCTTCTCTGCCCACTTGTTGCAAACAGCAGCCCCCTGCCCTGCGTATCTTTCCCATTGGGTGTTCTGGATACTCTACCATTTTACCTGGGGGTTTAATTTCTGCTCAGCACCCTCAGCCAGGACACTGATGTGAATCAGCTGTCCCGTCTTCTCACACACTTGTCATGATCAGATATAATCCTCATTTATCTGTTCGTTGTCTCTCTCCCTCTCATGTAAACTGCCCCAGAGATCAGGAGCTTTGCCTGCCCCATTCACTGGCACCTGGCACTTTTTAGTAGGCGCCCAGGAATTCTTGAAACGGAATGACAATCACCTGTGACAAATCCTGCTGCGAGGTAGAGCTGGCTGAGGGTGCGGCAGAAGGAGCTGGCCACCATGCCCAGGCTGGCCAGCATGCCCCCCAGCATCACTGTGGCTCGGCAGCCAAAGCGTCCCACCAGGATGCTGCACAGGGGTCCTGTGGGGTGGAGGCAGGAGGGGCAGGGGTGAGAAGCCAGCCAGCAGGTGGCAACTGCCTGAGGGGTCCCAGAGGGAGAGGGAGAGGGAGGCCAGGAGGGAATCCCAGCAGGAACTAGGCAGGAGGCTTTAAGGGCATAAGCCCTGGAGCCTGCAGCCCTGGATTCTGCTGCCCACTCTGCCAGACTGGCCAGGGGGCCCGGGCAAGGCTATCCCTCTCTCTGCCTCAGTTTCCTCCCCTACAGAAGGAGGGATCAGGCTGGGTGATGTGTGACCAGGTGTGAAGTGAGGTGCTGCAAATGTTCAGTTTGACCCAGACAAGGTTCCCTAGGGGTGCAGACCAAGGACCTTCGCTGCTCTGACCTGAGGCTGCTTCCAGCCGGCTGAAACGGGACTGGCTCATGACGTAGGCCTAGGTGAAAGCTCCTCATGGGGGTGGGGGGAGTCTGTCTTAAATTGCAGGGGTCCTGGGCATCTAAATCATGATGAGCACCCCCTGTCCCTCCTCCTACCCCATCCTCAAGAAGACTGGCCACAGCCCTCCCTCCAGCCTCTGCACCCCCTTGCACTGGCCTCTGGAGAAAATTGGGTGAGGTACCTTCTCCCCTCCCCCATCACCTCCAGCCACAAGTTATGCACCCAGGTGTTTGGCTCCTGTTGGAGAGGGGCCTGTTTTCCTCCACCCCACCCCCACCCTGAGCAGCTTTCTCTGGACTCAAACCCAGAATAGTAGAAACAAGCCAGTCCTGGCCGGAGTGCCCTGGCCCCAAGTACATGTAATGGAGCTTCAGGGAAAGTGTGTGTGGGCACCACGCTTGTATGTGTGTTTGGGGTGGAAAGGGGATGTGTGCGTGTGAGCCAGTGCGAGTGTGGGAGCGAAAGAGGAAGTGAGCAGCCCATCCTCAGAGATAATCAAGCAGAGCAACTGTTGAGGGGGAGGCGAGGCTTTGAAGTGGATATGACCATGGCCCCATGCACTTTCCCCACCACCATACTTTGACCTGACTTAGGAAAGGTGATATTGGGGAAAGCCCTGAGTCATGGAGTTGGGGGTGGGGCTGGGATGTGAGCCAGCTTAGCTGAGATAGCTGAGGGTGCTGGGGTGGGGCGCTGGGAGGCAGGGCGTTCCTTTGGCACCGGCACTGCTGCTGCCCTGAACTCACTCTACAACCTTGGGCAGGCCTTGTACTTTGCACTAGCTTGCTTTCCTCACCTCTAAAATGTGTGGGAGCAGGGAGTGCTTAAGATCAATGGTACTTTCAATGGTAATTTCCTACGCGGAATGAGCATGGGCTAAAGGCATGTATGTTTGAGACAGAAATGACAGACAAGTCCCAAGCTGAGATGTTGGAGAGCCTACTAGGGGCCAGTGAGCCTAAAGCTGGCTGGGGAGTGGGGGTTTCCACTGGATGCCCGGATCCCAGTCCCTGGCCCAGACCCCTCTCTGGCTTCGTGGAAGGAACCCTCTGAGATCCCCACGTCTGCACCAACCTTACAAGTAAAAAGGTTATGCAGTCTGGGCTAGGTCTGGCCTTTCCCATTGCCCTGAGCCCAGGCCCTGGGGTGACAGGTTCAGGGGTCATTCCAGCAAGGGTGGCACCTATCACAGTTTTACCTCCCTCCCAACTGGAGGGAAGGAGCTGTGAGAACAAGCAGGATGCTGGTGCCAGGTGGCGGGAGTGGCAGGAGGTAGGCAGGGAGATGGGTCAGCTAAGGCAAGTGCCTCCCCCACCCCCACGTGGGAAGAGCCCTGTGGTCCCATCAGACCAGCTCCAGTTCACCAGGCCTCCCTGGAGGCCACTGTCTGTGGAGTCTCCCTGGAGAACAACCAGGAGCTGGAGGCCAGCCCCTGAGCCCAAAGCTGCTGTGCAGAACCCACCTGGGCAGCTCCTGACCTGCCCCCATGGCTGGGGTAAGAGTCAGGTCATCACAGTCCTGGAGGAGCCAACCAGGAAATGAGGGGGGCTGCCTTCCCTCCAGCTCCCCAGCCCTTGCAACTCCCCCTCTGCTTTCTGGCGAAAGATGGGGCTCTTGCAATGCCCCCACCTTGCTCCTGGTGACTTCAAAGAGTCCCCTTTCCCGTCCTGAAGCCCCTGATGGTCTCCAGAAGTCCAATCATTCACAGCTGCTTACATTTCCCTCGCTCTCTTGGCATTTGCCCAGCGTCATGTGATCTACCCTGTGATCCCATGTGGGAGGTGGGCAGGACGTTGGGTGTTACCCTCATATTGCAGGGGAAGAAACTAAGGTTCAGAGGGATCTCCCAGCTGGACCCCATGCAGCTACTCCTCCAGTCTGTGCTGGGAACAGCACTCCTACAGTCTGGATCCATCCTTCAGCGGCCACTGAGGACAGACTGCATCTTAGGCACCTGCCTGCCTGCCTGCCTTTACCCCTCCCCACCCCAGCCCAGCCCAGCCCTGAGGGATTGCAGCCTGGGGTGCGGGCCCTCCTGAAATCAGATGAAATCTTAGGAATTCACCAGGAAAGGCAAAGCCTATGGCCTCAGAGAGAGGGACCCTGGAAGCCAGGGAGGTTGTGGCTCCTTGTCATCCCTCCCAGGGCCCCTTCTTGGGCTGCTTACCCCCTGCGTGGAGCATGGCTATCAGGATGGAGGGGAACCAGGAGGTCTCGCTGTTGCTGGCCTGGAACTCATGCTGTAGCTCAGTGAAGAAGATGCCGATGCACGTGGGGAAGCCCAGGGTGAGGCCCTGGGCCACCATGGAGGCCAAAAGGACCACCCAGGCCCAGCTGCCGTCCGCGCGCTCCAGGGCCTGGGGCATCCTCTGCTGGGAACACTGCCCCAGCCTCGCTGCCACTGCTACCAGTGCCTGGGCCACCTGGGAAGGGGACAGAATGAAGTTGCCAGCCCTCCCCCAGCTCACCTGACACCTTTCCTAGGCGGCTGAAACCGTCCCTCTTGCCTCAGCACCAGGTATTAGGGGGAGCACCACCCCCTAGGAGGTGGCCAGAGGCCCACGCATTGGCCTTGGCATCTCCTTTCACCCATTTCCCAGAGCCAGCCTGGCAGGAGGGGCTGCCAGGTGAGGAATCAGTGGGACAAGGCAGGTGGCTGGAATTCTTTCTAGTCTAACATCACTTGGTAGTCAGCATGTGGGACTTCCCGGGCTGGCCCGGGCCCCACACAGTTACTACTTGTAGAATGGAGCAGGGCTCTAGGGTCCGTGAAGTCCCACTGACCCCAGGCACACACATACATTTCCATTCATAACCAGGCCTCCTGCATATGCACAGACTTGCGCAAGGCCACATCAACAGCTAATTTCTGTCGTGCTGTTGTGAAGGCCAAGTTGAACTAGCTGGTGCTGGTGCAGCCAAGGAGAGTACACAGAACAGCTTCACGGGCACCGACCTCTGAAAGTACCCTGCAGCTCCTTTTAGAGTCACGGCCAAGAGTCAAGTTCCACAGTCATGCTGAATAATGATCTATCGCCTGCAAGAGCTTCTCCGAGCAGCCCCCCCAAATACATACACACAGATACATACAGTCACACATGACACATATAGACACACATACACATACATAGGCACACACTTACACAGACACGCAGGCAAGCCCAGAGGCATACAGACAAAGGCATACAGACAGACACATGCTACACAGACACACACACTTCACCCTCTCATCTTTGGTTCAGTCCTATCTCAGTTCCCTGCCACCACCAGGTGGACTCCCCCTCATCACAGAAACTGCCATAACCAGACCTTGAAGCCTCAAGTCCCCCCCAAAAGCAGAGCCCTCTCCCAGACCCCTCCCTCCATCCTGGCTCCCCCAGCGCCCTGAGACCTCACCTGCACTCAGGGCTCCAGGTTTGGCCTTGGCATCTCCTTGATGCCAAGGTGAAAGTGGGAGAACTTTCACCTCAGTGAAGCCAAGGGCCCCATGAGCTACTGTTCCCACAGCCTCCCTCCTTTTAGCCCCAAGTCTGGGGAAGATCCATGGAAACTCAGGAAACTCTCAGAAATATGAAACCCCCTCTTCCTGCCAAGCCCTGCAGCCCACACCTTTCCCTCAGGCCCAGCAGCTTCAAAATAGCACCTAAGCAGGACCCACCCTATAGTGACTCCTTCGAATGCTCCAGTCCCTTCTGGTACAGCCCTGCCAAGGCGAGCGGCCCATTCATCCCAGCCTCAGGGTGTGCGTGTGAGTGTGCATGTGTGTGACCTTGAGCCCTTGTGTGGGCCAGGAGCACCTCCTGCCCTCCTGGCTCCTGCCTGTGACACCGGCTGGCCCTAAAGATCCCCTCAGCCCCGATCCTCTTGGCCCAGCTCCAAGGCTCAGGCAAACCTCAGATACGGCTCCTCCAGCAAACTGGCTCTTGCCCCTTCCAGGATTTCTGTTCCCTCAGCAAACGGAAAGGCCACCAATGCCACCTGATCCTCTCTACTGTGACCTGAATGGCAAGTCTCCACACCCTTCTCCACAGCTCACCCCTCCTCCCTGACACATCCCAGCCCCTCAACCTTCCAAGACCTGCCACTTTACCTTCTTCCACCCAGAAGGGCCACCAGCCTTCCTCTGCTCCCCTCACTTCCTCCAGCTCTTCCCTCCGCTGCTGCCCCACCCCTGGCACTCCCGAGCTCCAGGACCCTACAGATTTCCCTTCAGAGCAGCACACTGTCACTGACCAAGAGGTGGCAGGGAGGGAAGATCAGAGAAGAGCCGTGTGTAGGGGGGGCTCTCCCCACTCTAGTCCCTTGTTCATCTTTGTCCCGCTCCCTCCACCTCCCGTTGGAGAGGTCTCTTTTTTTTTTAATCCTCAAGCGAGGATATTTTTTCCATTGCTTTTCAGAAAGAATGGAAGAGAGAGGGAGGGAGAAACATCAATGGGAGAGAGACACACCTATTGGTTGCCTCCTGCAGGCACCTCATCCAGGGATGGAGCCTGCAACCAAGGTACCTGCCCTTGGCTGGAATGAAACCTCGGGCCGACGCTCTAACCACTGAGCCGGACCGACTAGGGCGTGAGGTCTCTTTAGTGCCCTTCTCAGCAACCACTCTGTCCAGGATTCTGACCTTCACTCTGCACCCACCTTTCTTCCAGAGGCTTCCGGTGGAGCTGGCTGTTCGCAGATTCTCCTCCCTGGGGACTCCCGGGACAATCAGAGCCCAGGAAACCACTAAGTACCTTTGCCCTCTTCGCTTGCTGCCTCCTTGCTCTGGGGACCCCTGGCATCCCTCTGGGAGCTCCCCTACGAACCCAGTCTTCCAGGAGAGGAGAGGGCCATCTCCTCCCACACCCCCAGCAATTCCCAGGCCACACACATAGCTTTTATGTCCAGCTGGTCCTTCAGCCCCCTCCCCAAGCAAGCTGCCCCCCACACACAAAAACTTGGCCACAGTGGTGGTGGTTCCCCCTAAATCTTTAGCCAGAGAGATTCAGCCCTGGCAGCACCCCTAGGAAGCTATCCTGACCCTACCCTCCGCTGGGCTAGACATCCTGTTTTCTCTCCTTAATAGTGGTTTTCGTACCACATTGAAGTGGTTCAATCCTTTATCTTGTCCCCCCGCCTCAACTACCCCCATTCTACACTATAAGTAAGGACTTGTCCATGCACACGCACACACACAGACACACACACACCCCGCTTCTGGCACAGCACAAAAAATACTATTAATGTGACGCACCTGTGTTTCCCAGAAGGCAGGCAAGCCCAGGACCAAGGGTGACCTGGCTTCCTGGCAGGCAGGTCCATTCCAGAAGACTCAGCAGAGCAGAGAAGAGATGGGGCTGGGGGCTCCGGCTTTGCCTCTGCCCCAGCAGGGAAGTGGGCTTTCCTTTGTACTGGGAACCATGAGTCATGATCACTGCCTGGTGTGTGGTTGGGGCAAGGAGGGACATGCGGACAGAGATGCCTGCTCTCACTTCCTGGGACTGGAGGTGAGCCGCCTTCCACCTGGAGCTCCCCACCTCAGCCCCCCTACCCAGAGTGAGACCATCTTCATGCCCAAGTGACAATCCCAAGATGACCTTTCTTGCCCTCCCAAACCCCAGGCCCTTTTTAGGGCTTCCCGTTGGATGCCAGGGGCCCTGCTAGACCCTCAGAATCCTTTCCCTGCCCTTCTGAGTTTGTAAGTATGGTCAGGGGGGTGAGCAGATGCTCTCACGCAGCTTGCTGGGCTGGTGTGCAGAGTGGGGGGGCCTCCTCCTCTCTCTTCCTCTGCTCTGTTCGCTTCTCATGGTGAGGCGAAAAGGAGGAGCCACAAGCCCCAGAGCCGGCAAAGGATGGGCAGGCCCTGGAGACCCCCTCCCTCCACAGACCACATCCATATCAGGCAGGACCCCGGGGGCCTGCAGCCCAGGGCCCAGGACACAGGACAGGCCACATAGGGCTCCCCACTGGGCTTGAAGAACTGAAAGAGCCAGCTTGAACTTGGGGCTGACAGGCCCTCAAACTCTTGCACCTGGCAGGGGCCCCCGGAAGGAAGGAGGCAGTTCTAGAGGTCACGAGCTGGGGCAAGTCACCCCGTCCCTTCTCTGTCCCCAAACGTGCCCCACATTTCCCACAGGGGCCGGGTGTTCACAGCCTGGAAGGGGGATGGTACAGGCAACAGAAATCCATGACCTCTCGTCACCCTGCGCCCTGTCTCTGCCGTCCGGGATCTAGTTTCCACCGCTTCCCACCCTCTGCTGGACGGATCTCCTCTGGGTGGGGCTTCGGGACGTCCAGGCGGCGCCCGCGCGCGGACTTCAGGCCAGGCCTTGGGTGGTGCCCGTTCCCTTCACTCCCCAGGCGGTGGAGGGCAAGGAGTCGCTTTGGAGAGGCACCCCCTCAGGCGTGGAGGGGGGGGTCCCCAACCACCCGCGGTTGTGGCAGCCCAGAGCCCGGGACAAAAAGGCTTTTCCGGACCCAAACCCCCGACAGGCGGGAAGGGGCCCGGGAGGCCGGGAGAGGGGCGGGTCCGCCGCGCGCAGACGGGGACCCCAGCGGGAGGACGCCTCGAGGGCGGTG